ATGGTATCCGGACTTTAAGTCTATCTTAGAGAAATACTTACAACCCTGCACTCGATCTAAAAGATCGTCTATCCTGGGCAGCGGCTCAACATTCTTCGCTGTGATCGCGTTCAAACCCCTATAGTCTATACACATACGAAGCTCTCCTTCCTTCTTGGGGACAAACAAAACGGGTGCTCCAAAAGGAGACGAACTGGGCCTGATCCAACCTTTCTCAAGGAGTTCGTCTAACTGCTTGCGGAGCTCCTCTAACTCTCTAAGGGACATCCTGTAGACTGCACCCTTAGGAGTTCTACTGCCAGGCTCTATCTCTATCCTGTGCTGGATGGGTCGCGACACTACTCCTGTCGGCGACTTAGTCAAGTCTTTGAATTCTTCCAGCAGCTTGGCAATTGTTGGATCTGTGGAACTATCCTTTTCCTGGGCCTCAGTGACAGGTCTGACATATACTACAAAGACCTGGTCTTCTAACTGCTCCTTCTTTATTAATCGCGAGAATGCGGGAGCACTGAGACAGCAATGTGTCAAGGTGTTATCTACACCAGACACATGGAACAAGCGGGCAGTCTTAACCTCGCCTGACGGGCTAGGGAGCCTACACTCATGCTCTCTCAAATGAAGTGTGGCCCCTGCTGCCTCTCCCTAATCCATTCCTAACACTATATCGAAAGGAAGGTCATCCTGCACGAGGAGAGTCAAAGAATGGAGGACCTTCTCCACTTTTCCATTCTTCTCTAGGCAAAAGTACGCCTGGACTCCCTCTACGTAGTCCTCAACGCGCATTGTGCGGTTGTCTGGGAGGACACTAACTATGGGGTCTACTAGTTTCTGGACTTTTAGTCCTAGCCTCAACTTTTTCAGCGCCCTACGGCTAATGTAACAACGGGTAGCCCCTGAGTCTATAAGGGCCCCTACTCTACTTCTGAACACCTCAATCTACCAAAATCAGTTGTCCCTTACTCTCCCTTTTCATTTTGGCCCAGGCTGGCATTCTCTCTTTTAACTCTCCTGCCACACCTGTGAGGGACGTGCCTAAGGAGACGCTAACACAAGCAGTCTCTGGACAGCTATCTAGGCACGGGCCTGCAACCTCTGCCATAGGCTCATGTGGGTTGGGAGTGTCCTGTTCGCGCGCGCTCACTTCTCCACATGGCCTGGAAGTAGGGGCAGTTGCGACCCCTACTGGCGGCTGCCTTTTGACTGTTGAGCAGCCCAACGGGCCTGTCTATACTTTGGACAAAATTTGATAATGTGGGCCGGGTCACCACAGAATACGCACTGACCCCGGTCCATGCGTTCCTGCCATACGCGCTGGTCCAAGCCCAAATCTTGCCAGGGCCTGCCCTGTGGCAAGCATGGGTGCCAACCCCCTTGAGGTGCCCTTCCACCTCCTCGCTGTGGGGACCGGTTACCATGGCGATTTAACGGGGGACCTTGACCCCTACCTCCCGCTTGGCGGTTTTCCTGTCCGCCAACCCCCTCTGCGCCCGGTCCTCGGCCTCCCATGGCCTGGCCCCTTTGGCCCTGGCCTCCTCCTCTACCTTGCGGCCTCCCTCCGGCCGCGACAGCAGCGTAAGACCTCCCCTGCCCCACACTACTGCCATCATCTTCAAGGCCCCACTCAATCTGGTCATATGGGACCTCATCGGTACCACCTTCTTCTAATGTCAGGATCATGTGATCCTTGGCCTTTACTTGGCCTAAGATGGTACGATTCTTCCACTTCTTCCCCTTCTCTAAGTCCTTATGCCAAAAAGTGGTCACTGGCATAGACTTCGACTCATACAGGACGACTTCCCTACTCGATGCATCGTAAGTCATGTCGGGCTGCTGAGATTTGTCAAAGAAATGGCACGATAAAACAACTGGACCAGCTGGGGCTCAGTGACTCCGTGGTCCGGGACGGCTACCAAGTCGTCCATAGTACCCTTGAGTGCCTTAGCACTCCTCCACTGCCGAGAGTGGATCGTTTGGAGCTTATCAGAGGCTCTAATGCCTCGCGTTGGGTCAGCGAACCGCTCCTTGAGGAGCTTAAGGAATTGGGAAAGAGGAGTGACTTTGGAATATGCGACCAGGTTGTTTTCACAACTGGCTGTACGCGCGAGAAACCTGGCGAAGCTAGCCGCGTCATCTTTCAGGGCCTGGAAGGCCACAAGGACTTGCTCCTCCATCAGGATATGTTGTAAATAAATGTAACTATTGGCACTAGCCTCCGAGTTGTCAAAGTTCTCGTCCTTCTTTCCCCCGTATGCGTCTGGGAACTTAAGTTTCACTGGGTCCTTACGGGGTCTGCCCTCTCCTTCTACAGCGGCTGCAGCTTTGGCACCCTGAATGGCGCCCTCACAAAACTTCCCTACATTGTCCCTCAACTGTTTGACTTCGCCCCCAATGTGGGTGACGATTTCGCGCGCAAAATCCCTAAACCCGGACCGCATGGCACTTAACGCTACATCATGGCTCCACCTTGCCTGGCGCTCCTCCATCCAGGCCTTGCTCAACACCTCTAAATAGCCCAGTACTTTGTCCCACTTGGCCTTATCATCTRGCTGGGCCAGCACCTCCGCTCTACACTCTTGCACCTTTGCCACTGCTGCGGTCATCTTATTCACTTCCTCTCTCCTCCTCTTCTTCTCCCTCTTCATTCTCAGCTTCCATGCTAACTTTTGCTCGTCTTCCCTCTCTCTTCGTTCCATYGGGTCTGTTATGGCTGCTAGCTCAGCGGCCAGCGCAGCCTTCTCATCCTTAGTCACATATGACTCCGCCTCCTCGTCTTCCCCCAACGATAAATTAGCGACGCACTCGCTGATCTTCTTCTCCAGCTCAGTATCTGTCTCCCACTTCATCGTGCCACCACTACTTCCTTCCCCACTCTCAATTCTCATTCTCTCTTTCTCTTCTTCTGCGGCCGCTTCTGCTTCAGCAGCCCTCCTTCTTTCTTCCTCCTCCTGTTGTACCCTCTTCATCTCCTCCTCCAATCTCTTTATCTTCGTCGCCTGCTCGTCTGCGATAGCCTTTAGCTTGGCTTGCTTTTCACGCTCTTTCCTCTCCTTATTCTCTCTGACTAAGGCGGCCATCTTTTCTTGCTGCTCAGTGGTGTAGGGGCTAGTCTCCTTCCCACTACGGGTCTCAACCATGGTGATAAGTGTACAACCGGGTTAGTGGTTCCAAACCTCACCACGTAGACTTCAACCCCTGACTGACAGACCTACTGACTCAATCTAAGACTCACAGAATCCTGACAGGGA